GAAATTACTGTCTGAGCCGCAGTACATAGGGATCCAGACTTTTGTAGACAATCGCCAGGATCATGTAGGTTCTCTTTCTCTCTCCCTCTCTTCTCTCTTGTCGTCGAACAAGGCCAGGTTCACATGCAGCACCAGGATGAGCTCGACCGCCACTTTGCTATCGGGCGCATCGGTCCGGCACCGCACGGGGGCAGCGCGGGACCCTCCCGGCCGCGTCACGCAGGAGTTGGTTTTCATAACCCTTCGTCGCAATATACATGGAGCTTGCACAAGCCGCTCCGGCCGGGTGCGCCAGCCATACCTCTCGCGAGCCCCTATGACAGGATAGGGCCTACGCGAGGCACGACTTACCTACACCTTACGGAAGCTGTCACCTCCTTTCGGTGGGCGTATCCCCGCCGAGCTACCAGTCCACAGTACGAAAGCTAATAAGTTGCAATCGCAGAGATGGACCAGCCGAGGGCGTTTCTCGTTCGCTGTAGCATAGGGGCGTACGCGCGGTAATACGCCTCTATCGGACCCGCACGCGAACCGACATCTTGGGGGGGCTGAGGTCCCAGGCGTGACTCATCGTCGGTCGACTAGGACGCATCCCACCCACACCACACGCACTCCGCTTTACGAACACACATACACACAAAACAACATATATACGAAACGACACAATACCAACAACGCGACAACGCTCCTAGTCCCTCAGTAGCCAACCCATAACTTTCCAGTGCGGAAATCGGATAGGCGTCACGCGCTGAACTTAGTATAAAACCGCGCGGACGCGGGGCATACTCATATCGACTTGCAATGCAGGCATACACAAGCAGTCGCAACAATGGCGTACTATGTAGTGCTCATAATCAAGCGGTCCCTCGTGGATCCGAGTACCGCTTATGACACTCAAGTGTCAGACTTGAAGTGTCGTGAGGGCCTAACCCTTCACGACATTGCACGGCTGAAGGAAAAGTCGTGCAACCGCCGCTGCACCTTAGGCTCTCGACCTGAGTGTCTCGGTAGGTAAATCAAATAGGCTCTGCGCGAGGGAAAACCCCTCCCCTGCAGAGCTTAGGGCTTGGGATGTCCTGGACAAGGACCTCGAATCCCGGCCCAGGACCAAACGTCCGACTAAGAAAATCATCAAAAAGCAAAAGACAAGAATAAAAGGAGTGACCTCCTCTAAGCCCCTCAGTCTCAGCTTCTAAATGGGGCTCTAATGTGGGGGCTCTTCAACCCATGCAAACATTCATCCCAAGTATACCCATGTATACATATATAAGGGTTAAGTATGTGACGATCACTTTTCACGGTCTCACTGACGTTTCTCACAATAATATGTATATGTGTGATCGTAGGCAACCAGATTCAGAATCTGCTTCACAGCACATACCTGCCATCACATCAACGAACCAAATCAACAGCCCACACACTACACGAAGTCAACCCCAACCACCTTCAACACTCATACCCCTCGCTTTAGCCATGCAAGCCCCAAACCTCCTTTCCAACCAACCTTAATTAAATACTCAGCACCTTTGTTAAATGACCATTCAATAAAAGTGTGGGTGAAACCTTAATAAAACCACGAAATCACCAGGGCTAAAGCCTTTTAGGTTGAGTGTAGAGGGATAGTTGAAATTGAGTCGTAGACCGACGAATCGGCAACGGACCTGTTATCAGTGATAACAGTAAGTGATCCTCAAGGGATCAAGCTGGATCTAGCCCTACCTTGGATCAAAGGATCAAAAGGACCTGTAACACACGGCATACCAATCCCCAAACTAAGATCATAAGTGTATGGAGAATACGACTCCATAATACATCCTCACTCAAAAACTTCCTTATTAGCTAAATCTAAGTCTACTTTTAAGTCAGTGCTTAAGCTGAAGGTAGACCTACTACAAAGTCTCCCCTATTCTGGGTGGATMGCCTGAATCACCTATCAAAATATAATTTATCTCCTCTAAACTAAGAAAATTTTRGCAGCGCTTCCCGTAGGAAAAGTGTCTTTTCATAATTTATATAAGCCGAGATATGAGAGCAGAAATAATCTCTAACTGTGGAAAGTCAAATTCTGTCTAACTCTCTAAATTAGTAGAAATTAGGGCAGCACTCCCTTTAGACAGGGAGACTTATCAGATTTATACTAAGTAAGATATGAAGCAGAATTAATCTCTAATTATGGAAAGTCAAATTCAGTCTAACTCTCTGAATTAGTAGAAATTTGGGCAGCACTTCCTTTAAAAAGGGAGACTTCCCAGATTTATACTAAGTCAGATATGAAAGCATAATTAATCTCTAATTATGGAAAGTCAAATTTTGTCTAATTTTCTAAATTAGTAAAAATTTGGGCAGCATTCCCTTTAGAAAGAAAGGGATACTCAGTCAGATATGAACTTGAAAAATAGCTCGAGCTCAACTTTTGACTGAATGTAACTAACTCCTTAATTTTTTTTGAAATTTCGGCAGCACTCCCTCTCGAAAAGTACTATTCCAAAATTTATACAAGGCTAAGTTTAGAATTTTGAGAATAACTTTGACTTCTCAAAGTCCAATTTTGTCTAACTCATTGAATTAGTAAAAATTTGGGCAGCACTCCCTCTAGAAAATGAGACTTTCCAAATGTATACTAATCCATATATGGAAAAGACAAGCTGAACTCTGACAAGTCAAAAGTTGATTAACTTCTTGGATTTGTAGAAATTTCGGCAGCGCTTCCCGTAGGAAAAGTAGCTTGCCAAGATTTATACAAAGCCAAGAATAAGAAAATATCTCAGAAAATGCAGGAATTGACACTAACTCCTATAGCTCTAGCACGTGGCAAGCAACTACAGCAACTACCTATAGTAATGAAACTTAAACAACCTAGCCATCTCATCCAGTCACATGCAAACCAAACCACAAATGTAAATACTCTCACCACCCCAAGTTCATTCCATATAAATAGTTCGTGAATCTTCAAGTTTTTGAATCCTTATACCCATCTTACATAAGACATAGAGCTGGACCATTCGCCATGGAAACAATGCCCAACTTGCCCTTATGATATACACGAACAGGTTGCACAACAACTTCTTTCTTCTTTTCGGCAGATGACTATGTCATTCGCAATGGAAACAATGCCTAGCCGCCCTGAGCTGTTTAATATCCGAAGATTTAGTATTTCTCTGACTTTGTTTTCAAAAGAAGAAGCAAATATGGGCAGGGGACTGAACCATTTACAGTAGAAACAATGTTCAGCTTGCCCAAACTATTTTCATTTATACTTTGTATTTTCCTTTTTCTCTTCTTAATGATATGGCTTAACGCTGGACCATTCACAGTAGAAACAATGCCCAGCTGTCAGTTCACATGCAAATATACATAAAATACTTTCCTTTATACTTAGTTCAAATTATGTGCGTGGTTTTCAGGCTAAGCCATTCACCATGGAAACACTACTTAGCCTTAGACAAAAAATCCTCCCTCAAAATAAACAAGAATTTAAACCCCTTCAATCAGACAACCCTCAGAGTAAGCTAAGGTAGCCAGGCCATTCACAGTGGAAACAATGTCTGGCTCCCCAGAAAACAATCAAATAAACACAGCGACCAGGCCATTCACAATAGAAACAATGCCTGGTCCTTCAGAAAACATCCAAATAAACTTAGCCCTGAGCCATTCACAGTAGAAACAATGCTCAGGCTTTGGTTGACCCGGTGAAACGCATGCAGTCTACCTTCCTTCCACCTTCCCCCAATTCATCCTTAGTCTGCTTTCAATCAGAACAAAATAGAAACTTAGGCTTCACTCTCACACATTCCTTCCAGTTAGTCTGATTAGGTCCTGAAGAGAAAGCAAAAACCATAGAGACAAACACATGCATACAACAATCATACTGCAGGGAGATAGGCAAACATGGGTAGTAGTGGGGTTTATACAGATAAAGATGATTTACCTGAAGGT